GGCGGTGGCCGGGGGTGTGCGTGTGGGTGGGGGTGTGGGCGTGCGTGTGGGTGTGGGTGTGGATGTGGGTGTAGGTGAATAGAACCCAGCATCTACATCCACACCCACACCCACACCCACACATTGAGTTCGCATACCTATCAAATATAGTACCAAAAAAAATTCCACCTGCCATTATACCAAGAAAAAAAGAAGTTTGAACCACTATACGATGGACAACATGATCACAAATCATATTCCACTGGAACATAAAGCAGTCGATCAAAAGAAATTAGATTGTTCAATATTAACATATTCGAGAAAGAGTGAGCCTATTAGGAAGATCTCTCCTATGGGTGTGGATGTTGGTGTGAGTGAGTGTGCGTACGAGTGAATGAAGAGAACACTGTAGTCCCCCCCCCCACATCCGTCTATTGTTATATTTCTTTTGTTTCTTTTTCTATTCTTTTATTTCATTGTTTGAGTCATCACAACACAGACTTCTCTTTATGTATATATGCTTGTTTTTCCTTAAAAAAAGATGATTATTTTTGTTCGTTTCGTTTCGCCTAACTTCTAATCTTGTTTCTGTTCTTCAAGTCAATAAAACAAACTATTGAACTTGACCTTTATTGTATTAAGCAATTGATAATACAATACATTCTGGTTTTACGTATTAACTTCAACACGTGACATAAACAAGTATAAAAATGATTGCAAGTTACTGCCATCTTTGACGTTCGCTTTGAATTGGATAAAACAATTTATCATTAAAAAACTATATAGTTTTCATTCATTCATTTTGATTTATTTTGTTCATCAAATGATATTTCTCTTTGTTTTTCTTTTCTATTAGAGATTCCTACTCTTATCTGAGCAATGAGAGTGAAAAAAAGTGAACCACTAGCAACTGCTTGACGACTAGTCAGTTAATTTCCTGGATAGGCTAGATATACAGCTTGTACACATTAGAGAAATAAAGCAGTATTATTTTTGTTTTAATTCAGTGTGCTTCCACACTACAAGAGTTAATTCACTAATCAGAATTAAGCTTAACCTCTATACTGTAGTGAAAATATGAAAGTAGTGTAAATAAGAGCAGCGAAATAAATTTAGGATATTTATCTATCCAAAGATGTTATGACAACTCCTGATCTGTAAAAAATTTAATGAATCGAGTATTTTATTTTTAATAATCATCACTCGTTCATTTTGTCTATCGTACATCAATTTTTTTCGTTGTTCTGTTTTGTTCAACCAAGCTACGATTCGATTGATGAATCAAATTAAATCATCTCGTCGAGACGACTTAAGTCTGTTTTAAATTATAAACAAATCAGATTGCTTAATTCGGCATTAATTGTCGTAGTGTGTACCAACTCATAGCAATTATATCAATGGATAGAGAAAATTATTCTGTATCGAACTGTGTCTTGAGTGTTTTTGTAAGTTGGCATGTGATTACATGAACTTTATCAAATACTAGATTGTAGCGACATATTTTAGTACATTTTTTGAGTCAAATGTCGAGAATTTTCACTGAGGCTAGACAAACCAACGCCTGTCGAGACTCTTTATTTCACTGAGGCTCTAAAATTCTGGATATTGATTTAGAAAAAAGAAGCAAGACATGTGGCTTCTTTCAATGTGTGCATTTGATATTGATTCGATGAGTCATTGGGCTATGAGCGCATTCCATTCCTACAATTTTTAGCATAATAATGATGTTTATTCATCATTCTCTTGTTTCAATTCTTGATTTGGGCCTAATCGATTTCTGTATTCAATTAAATGTTCAACTTCTTCGGGTGACTGTTTAGAAACTTCATATTGAATTGTCATATATTATTCATTGTATATTTAGTTTCGGTTGTTTTGATTGGTCATTACGTGAAATTGTTAATGATCCTCGTCATTTATCTTCATTAATACAAGATTTTTTCACAATAGCACGGTGAATTATGGAAACTATTACTTGGTTTACAAGATCATACGCCACAATTTACATTTCAATCTAGTATAAATGATTTACCAATATATTTACGTGCTAAAATTGTATCATTATCTTTACCGAATATTTTTTGTGGATGAACAACAACAACTGGACAACATTTAACATCATTAGCACTTGATCCAATTGAATATTTTCTATTTCATCTACTTTCTTATGTTGTTTCGTATCAACAATCACCGATAAATTTTAAAAAATCCATTTTATTGAATTTTATGACTAGAATCGACCGATGTGAAGTGATTCAGTGTATTTAAATATTCTTGTAATGTATTTGTCTTTTTCTACCATATAAATATTGAAAAATTAAGTCAATTCACTCTCAAATTTCGTTAATTTTTTTATAGCTGATGTCAGTGAATTTCGTTTACTTCTAATGCCAACAAGTAATACTACAGCTTCAAATATTCTTACAACTTTACGTGTACTTAATTCACGTTTGTTACCACCTGTACCTATTGAAACAACGACAAAGTATATTTTCAAAAAGTCTAAGCTTTTTTTAGTTGTTAGTTTATTGATTTAGAAAAAGTCCTGTTCGGCAATCATATTTATTTGGAAGTAATGTAAAACAACGAGGAGATGAAAAATAAAATCGTATAAATATAAGCACATCATCAGTAATTCCATCATCACCACCTGTAATTTTAGCGACAACAACAGTCGATATCGATGAATTAATGAAAAAAATTGATTATTTTATTAGAGTAAAAAAAAAGAAGATTTAACGTTTGAAACAAAATGCCTTATTTTTGTTTGCTTAGTGCTATGTAGCATTTCTAATTGATGTGTTTCAACCATAGAAATCCGTTTTTGATACAAACAGTGGTTCAGTTCTTGTTCAAGTATGATGAAAATTTTATATTTATTAAACATTCTTTTTTTTCTTTAGAAATTTAATTTGTCAGATGTTCATTTACTTTGTATTCTTATATTTATTAAACGTTTTCATTTATTTTGTTTATATCAAATTGGTGTTGGTGGCAATAATGCTTCTCTTGCTAATACAGGCCTGACATTACTCAAACAACATAATCTTCTTGTACCTTTAAAAACACTTAAACGGTTCATTGAAATTTACATTTCGAAAAAATTAATTTTCGAGAATAACACATTATTCTGATTTCTAACAAAAATTTGCTATGGAGTAGAAAGAAAGCAGCTAGTCATGGGGAGATTGTTTTATTCTAAACATATTTCTTCAGCATCGTTTTACTTAATTCTCGAGGAATGCAATAAGGAATTCGTTTATATATTATAACGAAACATTTTGGAGATACGGTCTGTGATCATATATCAATAACGTTTGTGGAGAAGGGCAGTGGATTCAGAGTTTTATCCCTATACTTCAGCTTCAGCCCTCGTTTTAGAACGTGTTTCATAAGTTTCTTTGAAGTATTACAGTAGCCGACAAAAGTCTCCACTCTCCCGTATCTTGGCTACCATAAATTGTGGCGTTCCAAAAATATTATGTGCGCCTACTCCAGCAAGAATATAGGTTAAGGACACGAGCTCGTTTCCATTGCTAAAATGGGACCAGAATTATTTTGTAATGTAAGGGATGGCACTTCTTTACTTTTTCAAACTTCATAACTCTGAACAGCAAGGATTTTGTGGTTCGGTTGATTATTCATTATTTAGTGGTTAGTTTAAGTTATCTACGGTATAAATGACGTCAAAATTAATGAACAATATCTAGAATAGTTGCCAATGTTGCTGTGACTATACCAGGGGGGGGGGGGGGGCGATATGATTCGATTTAGAGATCATAATTAAGTAGCAGTTCAGATAATGGAGTTAACGTTTTGAGAGAAGCTTTGTCTTTAACTAAGTATATTTTTCTGGAAGTTTTCTGAAAGAACTTTTCACTCGTTTGAAGTAGCATGTGAATTATTATAGTGTTCGTACTGTCTACTCAAATACATGTACACATAGCAATCTTTCAACAAGTCAAGTGAACTTTCGAGGAAAGACGGAGCACAGACTAAGCTTCAATTGTATGCTGAAATATAAAAAATAGTCATGTATTTGGTCAGAAGTAACCCAAAATCAAGTAGACAGGTTCTCCAGGTGCAAAAGAGAGACCTCAAAACAGATGTCCATCATCATGGTTCTCGTTCAATTTAGGTAGTCGCGATGAGCTCATGTTCTTAACCTATATTTTTGTCGGAGTAAGCGGACATCATATTTTTAAAACGCCATAATGTGTGGTAGTCGAGATTCAGGTGGGTGGAGACTTTTATCGACTACTGTAACTGACTCTGATCAGACAAAATTATAAATATAATTATTGATTTACTTTGCTAAACCTTTTGATCTTGTTGTTTCTTAAGAGACAACGATCTACGAATAGGTGTACGTCTTAGAATAACACAAAACAAAAAAGAAATCGATACACAATCAGTACGAGAAAAACAAAAACACAGAGTGACATATCACGTAGAATGCAAGACATTATGATAGGAAATAAATTAAAGACAGAAAGAAGAAGGATATGATTCTATAGGAAAAATAAAGAAATGCAGCATTAGAATGTCTATCAAAATTCAATTTAACATCGATCACTACTGAATCTGATAAACCATAAGTTGATATTCACTTTAAGGGCATTATTCCTCCTCTTTCCTAGATATCTTAAAAACAACTTAACCAAAAATCCTAAATCTAAAATTTTCAGGGTAGATAGATCTCTACTAGTACAGCAAAAGTTGCCATAGATTCAGAATTCCCGGATGCTTCTTCTATGAGATATAGGGGAGACGTACCTGAAATCCTCTCCGCCGCACACAATCACATTTCGTTTTTTTATAGCTGAGTTTCTTTTGTAATAACTAAGACTAAGTTGGGTGTATTTATTTTTTTTTCTTTGACAAATATTGTTTTCTTCATTTCGGGGAACTAAAATATTGGAAGTTCTGTAAAAAAAAAAGAGGCATTGTTTTTGCTTAGAACAAATTTCGTAAGATCTCGAAAAAAACATCATCAGAATATTATTTTAATGAAATAAAATATACGTAGATCCTGGTTTGATCCTAGTTATCACACAAAAAACTTCAGCACTCTGTATATAGATAATGCTCCAGACTTTGCAATGGCCATTAAAAAAAAATTTTGGATCATGAAAGAAGATAGGTTGTTTTGAAGGTTTGACTAAATATATCTACATATGGGACAAATTGTTTCAAATAGTTAAGACTTCCTATGAGGTTTCTGTCAATCAAAACGATTCATGCTTAAAGAGAGAGAATTGCTAAAGCAATAGATAAGTACCCAAGAACTTAGCAAGTCTGTTCAGATATTTTGTCTGATTTGTGCCACAGAGATAATCGAGTGACTGTTCATTAGTATAACATTAAGTAAAAAAGAATAAAATGAATGTTGAGAAAAACATTGCACAAAGTGTAAGCGATGCAGTTATCCACACAAAATTACAAATCTTCTATTTACTGTTTTATTTTTTAGAACATGTATTGATACATATGTTCGTCAACCTCTTTACACTCTTCATCAAACTAGTATTGTTCGATAAATAATGTAGTGTTTCATTCAATTATTTGTCGTCGCAACTCTTTTTACTAAATAGCTTAAAATATTCTTCTTTTTTCATTATTTTTGTAGATCTAAGTAATTATAATGTATACAACTGACGAAAAACCACCTGTCTCACCAGAAATCGAAATGAAATCTTTTCCACCTCATTCTACAATAGTAACAACAACATCATCCAAGGTAAGAAGTCGTAGCATTGCTTTTTTAAGACGTGAGAAGATGTTTCTATTTTTCATTGCATGATATTTGTCTGTTTTTCAGATATTCCTATGGAGAGCAAGCTAAAAATGTGTTGTTTGATGTTGATTATTTTGAGATTGTATCAGAGCACAACCTTGTTAGAACAAATAATATTTTGGCAAAATACAGCATATGTTTAAGACAAATCTTTACATAAAAAATTAGCTAGTGAAAAACTAAAATACTCGATGAGCCATTCTTATACACAATTTCCATAGGAAGATATTATTTTTACAAGAGGTAAGTTGTTAATATGAAATCATATCTGCGATCTTTATAGTAATTTTTAGTCCATATTCAAACGAGAATCCAACTTATATGTGGTACAGCAAAGTAGTCAATGAAAAAAGGAACAACATGATCTATGAAACATAGTTACATATTTTATTATTAAGGAGCAACGGCTTATTTTCAAACATTCCCTATCTATTGACTGTGCTTGAGAATTCTATTTTCTTCCAAAAGCAAAATAGGATCCACCTAGTCATTAGCATAAAAAAAATGCTCATAACTAGCGCTACGCAGTATTCGATTACCAACCAAGGTCTATCAAAGCCGAGAGAGATGCCCGTGAGATAGTGATACTTGCTTTATTTGGCATCTTCACACAACAAATCATCCAGCTCACACCGAGAACATACGTTAATATACAAGACGAAAGAAATCTGTTTCATGTTCTCATTATTTAGCATTAAAGATTTGATTGTTGAGAACCAAAAACACATGTAATAAACTTTCCTTATGGACTCTCTCTTACTTCTTGAGCTAGAACCTTTATTTTTACACAATAAGTACACTTTTAAATGCTCTTTAAAATGAATATTTATTTGTTGCAATGCCTCAAGTAGTGGCAAAGATATATCAATAGAAAAATTGCTGAGAACTTTTCCCCCATATCTTATCATTTGTTCTAACAGCGACATCCTGCGACGGAATCACAAAATAATCAACGTTGAAAATGTATTTTTAGCTTGTTTTCCATAAAAAGAACTGAAAATGTGTTAAAATGTGTCTTCTACAAAAGACAAGTCAAATTAAACCGAAAAACAGGGGGAGGGGGATAATTTCTGACTAAATTGACCAACTCGTTTCCGAAAGAAATGTATCTTACAATAAAATCAAAACCAAAAACAAGTTTCTTCGCCTGACTGCTAACCATATTCGTTGTCGACTTTTGTTCACTGTTTATGTGGGAGTATAACATACTTGAGTAATAGAAGTTTCAGAATATTAGACAATTACGTGCGATGATTGTTAGGGAAAAACTATGCACAAAGCAGGTCAATGCTTGGTCTAAAACAAGAGTCATGTGAAGTAAAGAAAGTATTGCGCTGATGTGGACCAAGAGTAAACAGTCACCCAAATTTCAGTTTGATAACCAGAGTTTTAGGTATTTTATTTTTATTTTTTGTGTACTCAAAAAGTGAGTACACTCTAGAATCAGTCAGTGTGTCCGTCCGTATACACGATAACTTTCGAAAGGAGAGTCAGATCATGATGAAATTTTCTACACAGTTCAGTCTTAACAATGTCTCGGTCGAGTTCGAAGATGAAAAGGATCCGTCACGAAATGGCTGAGTTATCGAAAAAATTGTCATTATTGGGAAGATCATCCCTGAGGGGGAGTACAGGGATTTTTTCAAAAAAAATATTTTTCTCAAAATTCTTCACA